TAATTAAATTTAATAACAGTAATAATTATGATATATAATAAAAATAAAGATCTTATAGATTTATTTCTGAATTGTAAAGTATTTTAATTTAATTTAATTGTTGAGCTATAGGTAGTTATAAATAAAAGCTAAAAAAAATCTCATAAAATATATATCTAGTAAGCAGGGTCAAGCCGAGGGCTTGGTAAGGTGGGCGCCTGCCAGGGGCACACAATTTGATATAATTAAATTTGAAAATCTAGGGAGGGGACACAAATTTTTATTTTGCCAGGAACCGCTATTTATTGGCCCAGCCCTGGTAGTAAGTACCTATAAAGGCAATAAGTTTAAAAACAAGTAATAATAATATATTACTGATATTGATATACAAAGTAATCAGTTAATTATAAATTATTCCACAGATTTTAAACATGTTAAAACCGTCAGAAATGAACGAGCAAACCTTTAGAAAATCAATATGAGACATAATATTATGAATTACATAGGACTATGTGGCATAATTTGAATGTGTTAAAGTGCAAAGGCATTTAAAATATGCATAAACGATATGGTAGCTCATATGGGTGTTGTCTTACAATATTAATTTTAGTACGTAGTAGCCAATAGGTAAAATAAACCATAATAAAATGATGCTGGACTTCAAAAATTATATTATGACCTAAAAGATGGAGATTTATCCAATTCCATTAGCTTATAAATAAGTKATATATTATATTATGATTAAAATTTGTTTGTTYCATTGAGTACTTATTTTTGACTTACTAAATTAATGGAATGTAAAAATCATTTAGGACATAATAAACTGGGACTGGTAACAAGGAATATTGTCTGGGCTTAAAAGTAAAAAATCTTGGCACCACCACTTTACATATTTTATATATAAATATATTTTATTTGTATATTTACTAGATTTTGTATTTCTTTTCTTTTCAAGAAACATTATAGGGTATTTTCTAAGTATTACAAGTGAAAGAGAACCTATAATTCCACCATGTGGTAGAACTGATTCTAAAGTAATAGGTAAAGGTAATGTAGAGTTTTTATAGAATCCTAATTTGGCAAACCAGCGTACTCTTCTTGTACTGTTTGTTGATATCTTAAGCTTTACACTATTGTGCACCTTACACAAAAACAAAAACAAAAAATTTAACATTAAAGTTTTTTCTAATTTAAAGATATTAAATAGTACAATATTTATATATTAAATTTATTAGCATGGTACTATACAAGATTATAATTTTTTAACACCAATATCAAAATAATGTAGAATGAATATCATTAGTACCGATTTATATTATTTAATTCYTTTTCTATATTATTAATTAAAGATATTTTAGTTTATCAAATTATATGATGCAACATTAAACCAGTTACAAATGAATTACTATTAAATCAATTTTTGTTTAAACACTGATAAATTGATAATTATATTTTAATAAAATGTTATCTTACAGAAGAAAAAAATGTAYTTAAAAACCCACAAAAATCATTAGTAGAGTGGACAACAGTAATGTACCTGAATATTATACAAATAATAATTGTATTATAAACAAATTATCTGAAGCCAAAATGTATATTATTTATTTGTAGTCATAAAATATTTACATCTAGTGGATCAATTCCTTCTCCAGCACCAATAAGTTCTGCGTTGTATATTATTAGTTTAGTACCAACTTTTATAATGCCTTTATGTAAAAGCATATTCATCTCATGATCAATAATTCCTTGAACACTATACCAGCCATCAGTGAGTTCAATACTAAAGGCTTCAGTTAAATTTGTCTAAAATACATAAGAAAATCAAGTTATAAGAAAAGACATATTTTTCTCAATTGTTTGAAAAAAGAACCCAATTATAAAAATAAAACGTTTAAAAGTATTAAATGTATTTTGTTATAAACAATGGCCAAAAATAAATTTAGATTCATAATAACTGTACTATATTTAAAATTTTCTAGTATCTACTTGAAGTCCCTCTTTCACTGAAAACATTATAACTAAAAAATCTGAGAAATAATGTCAAACCTAAATGTGATAGAATTCAACAAAATATGTCAAACGTAAAATAATACCATTGATTATAATATTTATGATCAATGATAATACTTACGACTAACTCTTATTATCACAAAAAAGTTAAAGTTATTCAGATTCATTCAATATTGAAAATTATAGAATACTTACTCTATTAACTTTTGATACACATAAAATAATTCTTTTTGATGTAGTTTCATCTTTCTCAAGTATCTTTTTTAATGCAGATCGTTGACATTTTTCAATTTCTCTATAGTATCTATATAATAGTTGGTGAATTACATTTTTTGCAGTTAACAACCTAAAAATTTTTAAACCATTAAATCTTTAACTTAAACAATAAAATAATAAATAAATAGATAAATATAATAAAAATAAATAAAAGTAGCTGTCATTATGACAATTTAATAATTATAATACTGGTTGCGGAATTATAAATGATAATTAAAATTATACCTACTTGAAATAAATCACATAAAAATTAATGCTTTTATTTTTTGTTAATGAATATAGGTAATTAAAACCAATGGGCTTTTACAGWGGTAACATATATACAGTGCTTGGAAAGTTCCTTTAAAAATGGAATTAGTTTTTCATTCCTGGCTTAAGAAGACACTACATCCGCATGTGTTATTTCCGTCTTACAAATGCGTAACATAGCAAAATTATGCTCAGWTCACGTTTAGCTACGTTAATTTAAAATTTAGAATGAATTTTATTGAATAAAAATCTTATGAGAAGCCATCGAAAATAGTGTTACTTTTAATTTTTRTAAGAGGTCAATTCACTTTAAATTTTAACTAATGGAGCTAAACGCGATCTGCCGAGCGTACGATTTGCTATGTTACGCACTTGTAAGATGAAGACAACACATGGTGTTGCGTCTTTTTAAAGAAAATAACTAATTCTTAATTAAAGAACATTTTTCATTACTTGATATTTTTTAAATAATTTTAAATTAAGTTATATGGTATATCAAAAATTTAAAACAAAAATATTGAGTATTGAATAAAATATTTTTTAAGCATTYTAAAATTAAGTTGATCAGATTAGTGGATTTAAAATTCATGGTTGTATAGCTATGACCTTTAAATAATATGTTATATCAATATAAATATTTACTTGTTTCCAAAATGATCGGGAAAACAAATTTCAGTAGCAGCTAATTTCCATACTATGAAACGAAAATGATTTTCTATCCATCCTTTAGGAATAAGTTTGTTATCAACAAAATTGTGTGATAAAAATAAGTATTTTATATCTTGAAAATTGTACATTTTATTTTTATGTCCACCAGATAATTTATAATTTCTGTGAAAAAAAAAAAATGTTAATAATRTATATTTAATTTAAAACTGAGGAAAATCAAAATATACTTGTCCCAATATAACTTCAAATTTATAGCATTATCAATATTCAATTTTATGAAATCTTTTGCWACACCATTCTCAGGAAACTAAAAATAATAAAACAGAATACGGATAACTAGGGATGGGTCTTAACAATTTTCATATAACATAAATTTATCATACGATCCACTTGATTAGTAACATAATAAAATTATCTTTGATAAAATACCTGAAATATCACAATATGCTAACATAACAATTATTAATTTATCTTTATGGAAAATAAATTGTAACATGAATGTATGGTCTATATAACTAATTATACTAATATCAATTAGAAATTATATAGTAATATATACTTTACTTAAAATGGTATTAYAATAATATTACTTTTTAAATAGGTACCTGTTTTATAGTGAATATTTTTGGTAAGACCCAATCAACAACTTCTGGTAATGATACTTTGGGTCCATTCAATTTGTTTGATAAATAAACATTAAATGAATTATTTAACTCATCAATTTCCCATCTATCATTATCTACTGTTTTTTTAATTTTATAATTAATTTCATGTGTATTTATAGGACTTCCTGAACGTTTATTTCTCAGCACTGGCTTACAAACAATTTGATCTCTTTCAAACTTCTCAACTGTATTAATTAAAGACAAATCATCCTCAAATGTACCTTCTTCCTCAGGTTTTAAAATGTCTAAACAGTTTGATTTTGTTTTTGGATCAGTAGTTAATTTTGAGACTTTGTTAAAATTACTGCAATCACTTGAAACAGCCATTGTTTCCAGTGAATTATTAAAGATTTTTTTATTATCTTTATATGTTGGATGATTTTTTTTTAATGATTTATCTAATTTTATAAAAGATTTGTCTTCAGCATCCAAAAATGTATTACAAAGGTTTGTCTCTGTATTAGTTTGATCCTTCATAATTGATGATGAATATTCAACTTTGAGTATTGTTTGAACTTTTTTTAAAGCGACATCTGATACTTTAATAGATTTACCCGCTGCGGTTGCAAAACCTTTACATGTATTAGAATTTATAACAATATTGTCCTGATTAACATTTGAAAATTCATTTAATTCATCTTTTAACATTGTTTGAACTTT